CGAACTCAATGCTAGATGCGTTACCGCAACGCAAGTAAAATTAAGAACAGCGAAATTGACATCTCAAAGTAGCACACCAGTTATGGCCAAAAAATTGCTTATAAGTGTACACCTTTTTGAACTCACATCCGTGAAGCTTCAGTGCTGCAGGTGATTTTTGGTACCTCTGAATAAAGCCACTGCTTCGCAAATTTGTCAATTATTTCGCGGATATGCTATGATTTTCAAGGCATATGTCTTTAAAGTTGAGGCTGGTCTGTTACAACGTTGGCGCCATCTCGTAGCCACTGCTAACAATAACATTGAGGGTGACGACGTTGAAGAACAAGCGCATTTCACACGAGACATTCTCACTATGTCATCACGGCACATCACATCTTAGTTACCCTTTAGGCGTCATGACAATGACCCGCATGATGATGAAGAACAAGCGGGTTCTAGACCACACGTTCTTTCCTGCAATTACGGCACAGCAAATTTAGGTACCTACTCTACGCCATGACAATGACGCTCATGACAATATAGATGATGATTACGGATTTGATTGACTGATATGTGGGGTTTAACGTCCCAAAACCACTATATGATTATGAGAGACGCCATAGGGTAGGGCTCGGAAATGATGATGATCACGGGAAATCATTGGCTTGTGCAGTATATGAAGTCTCGATGTGCTTTGCGATGCATTTGTTGTGATTGCAGACAACCAACAAGCACGAGAAGTACGTGTCCAGAAACTCGTCTTTTTTAACTTCGAGCTTGATCTGATACCACAACGCAGTATTAGTATTAAAGTGAAACGAAGTTCACAACTCAACAAAACATAGCAGTTATCACTGATTTGCATTGTAATTACCTGTACACCTCATCGCACTCATTTACATGCGCGAGCGATCAAAGCCACGGGTGAGATTTATGGTAACACCAAATAAGCTCACCGCTTTGCCGAATCATCAATCATTCCTTCGATTTGATGTGTTTTTTTCTCCCTTGTTCGGCCTGGGCGCGCTTAGGCTATTTGTGAGTTAACTAAAATCTTATATATTTATGTGTATATTGCCACAAGCAAATGCGAACGCTCCGTCTAACGCAGATATCGTAAACAAGACAAGCACTGATGACACCGCTACAATCGATGAAGAACCCAGCCTCAATGCACGATTAGGCCCTGCATGCGCACAAGCCTTGACGGAGCGGCCAACACGCGTGAAGACAGAAACGACGGTGTTCGAGGCAAAAACTAGCAGGGACTACAGGCATTCGAGTACTAAAGACGATAGGCTTTCTTGGGAACCTTCGACAAAAAATTTTGGGCTTTCTGTCTGTTCGTCTGTACATTTGTCTGCTTGTGCGTCCTTAACGGTACCATTAACGGCACCAGAAAACACCCAATCCACCCGACCCAACCCGTAGCACCCACCACTATTGCTCAAGGTTCAGCGTTCCTACTTGTGCAATTGTCAATTAAAAGCAATCATTGCAGATATCTGAGGCACCGTAACAACATGTAAATATTCTGAAGGTGTGTCGTTTACTCAAAAAGGCAGACGTAAGTAATTCTAAGGACCATAGCGTTTATCGCTCTGCGCTGACCACTCAACACTTGCACGAAAAACTCCCAAGCATTTCCCCGAGGGTCAACATCGTTAAGTGCGAATGCACGGGGTGATGCTATGAGGGGGAGTATCGTTAGAATCCGTTGGAATTCGCCAGTGAGTTAACGTAAACTCCCCCGTGTGATCAGATTGCGATTCCCAGGAATCATTAGACCCTATCGGGAAATTTGAGTTTACGCGCACATGTGAGAGTAAATCCACGCTATAATGATGCTTATGTGTTTTTTATCACGCTCGGAACGTCGATAGGCACGTTCACGATCTGTTCCTTGATGCCACACTGACCGTTGCCGCGCGTCAGCCGCCTGATGCTCATGAAGGAGAGTCGAGGCGAGATGAGGCGTTCTTCCACCGGGTTCAGAACGGGGAGGTCCGCGGGACAAGGCGGGTACGCGTAGCAGTGGCTCTTGCTCAACGGCGGAACCCGCCCGAGCAGAAGGGACTCTTGGCACGAGGCACACACCCTAGACGCAAAGAAGGGAGCCAGCCGCGGGTCTTGCGCATCCATGTCGTCGCATCTGTGTTCACCCGACCGTCTTCCGAACTTATTCCAAAGAATCCGCAACGCGTTCAACCTGTTCGTCTCATTCCTCATGCCGGAAATGCAGCTGAGGTTGTTGCCAAACCACAGCTGGTCGCACACAGCGCTGCTGTGACCGAAGCTGCGATCCACGAAGTGGCGCTTGAAGCGCGCGTCTGGACGAGCGAACTCCAGGACCCACGCTCGCTCACACATCGCGCGTCCCCCCACCACATTGGCTTCGGGGGGCTCGGCTCGTTTCATCCACTTTCGTTCGGCGTCTCGCCGCCGGCCTTCATCACCGCAGGCGATGCGGTGTTTACGTCGCCCATCGGCCTCCCGCAAGCGGAGTTCGGGATCCGCGGCCTGCTTCGCCCACTTGCGCTCGGCATTACGGGCCCTTCGCCACGCCGCCTTGTCTTCAACCGACGCGGTGGGCGCAATCACGCGGCGTGTGACGTCGCTTCGTCGTTGCTACAGACGCTTCTCTCCGCTCCTCGCACCGTCGCTAGGGGAGAGGAGGAGGCACCCCACAGACGGTGGATTCAGGGTCGCTTATCAAGTGCAGTTGCACTTAAAAGACAAGTGTTTTCAGCGCTTTGCTAAGACGACATGGTGGTGGCAGCTACTCGTCGCCTTGGGTTCCACTCCTTATCTACACCGTTCTACACTGTCGCCTTGCGTTCTACGCCTTAAGTTCTACATCGAAGCGCGTGGCTCGGAGAGGGACGCGCAGGCCCGTCTCAGAGCCACGCGCTTCGTTCCGTCACTTCGTTTCGGCACGTTAGACATGAACGCTATCTGGCAGTTTTCCAAGAAAACTGCCAGATAGCGCTCATGACTCACGTGTGACGTGGCTTCATGCGCCCTTTCCCCTCCGCTTCATGCTCGAGACACTCTAACTCAGCGCCTCAAGAGTACCATTCACTGATTTCCTTGTGGAGAACATCCAATAAACGTTTTGTTCACTCTATCCAGACGCAAGACTATCGTCTTTCGAAATCATATCCAGTGTAACATGCAGATACAGGCCCAGTTTTTCCTAACTTTTGTGTTTCTTCGGCTTTGAACAGAAGTGTGGCAGTTTGGGCTAGTTGGTATGACATGACGCAGTTACAGCGCCTAAACAAAACAATTGACCGAGATATGTTTGGGATTGAACGTCCCGAAACCACAACGTGAATATGAAAGACGCCGTAGCGGAGGGCTCCAGAAATTTTGGTTACCTGGCGTTCTTTAACACGCAACCAAATCTGAGCACACGGGCCTACAATATTTCCGCCTGCATTGATAATGCAGCTGCGGCAGCCGGACTTCGATCCCGCGACCCACGGGTCAGCAGCCGAGTACCTTAGCCACTATACCACCGCGGTGGGGCGAAACAGAAAGGACGACGTTCTGTTCTCGCTCTATAACTATCGTTTGGGCACAAGTTTGCCATTATTATGCAGTGTAAAGAAAACCTCCTTGTTGTGAAGTTATTTCGTTTGTGACAATTTGTGGTGTCGGTGAGGGGTAGATGATTCAGACCCCCACACCAGAGCGAAGTCCACAAACTGACCAGCTGGAAGACGTGAAGCTTACACCAATGCACTAACAAGTTATCCGCCGTATTCGAGGACACTTCCCACTGTGTCAAAAGCGTCGGCGGCGGAGACTACCGACAGGGCCACTATGACGAGCCAAGTTACGCTGGCAACATTCATAGAAGCCAACCTGTCCTTCCAAGTGCTCCACGGTTTCCCCCAGGAGGACGCTTAAGACTGGTTAGAACATGCTTAGAGAGTGCGAAGGCTAAACCAGTGGAACAAAGAAGCCGATCTTTTCAATGTCTACATTGCTTGGAATAATCTGCGCGTGTATAATTATAAAATCACGAGGCATCCTTGACGTCATGGCAGTAGTTTCTATGGCAGCTGCTAAGTACGTTCGAGCACAGTAATCATCACGAAAATGCAAAGCAGCTCTGCGTACAAAGAATCGACGTACGAATGAGACTGACGCAATATACATTGGAGGTACGTCCAGTTTTTTTCAAGTGAGCTGATCCCGGCATGAATGAAGGCATAAAGGTGCGTTACCTCATGCACAGGTTAGAGCAGGAGTTCTTCGCGGCACTCCTTAGCAATCTGTCCCGATCTATTGTTTCGCTTCGATCTGAAGAAACAATCATCAAAACGACGTCGCAGCAGAGAGCCCCGTAGTACAACCTCGACCTAGCCTGCACATCAGCAGGAATCTACTCGGCACTGCGCCGTGAATAACGTTCATACCGTTTGGGAGCTCGTCCGGTCTGTTGTCAGAAGAGAACAAAGAAAACTGCAGTCATCTGATGTTGCCCCCGAGATGTCTCTTGCTGCATTTTTCTGGAAAAAAAATTGGCAGGCCATGCGGAAGCTGTGTAGGTATGTGCCAGCGACACCACGGGTGGTAAGGTGCTCCGAGGTGCTCAGGTGACCTGCTCTGCACTGTGCGCCGATCTAGATGCCAATTACGTATGTGCACACAATGCATAGCCCGCTGAAATTGTAGAGGCATGCGCACGTGCTTCGAACAAGCGGCCAACGCGCGTGAACACGAAAATGACGGTGTTCGAGGCAGAGGCGTGCGAGGAGTGTGGACCTATTGGTTGTTTTCCTCACTGCTATGTTTCTTTGTCTTTGGGCACATGTTCAGTCTTCATATTCCATGTGAAGAGAGTATCTTTGTTGTGAGGTTGTTACACTTGTTACAATATCTATTAACTAACTCTAAGCGTATCTCTGTACTTCATACAAATGCTGCTATGTAAACAACCCTCACCTGCCTGAAGACTTCTTATACCATCAAAGATTGCGAGATCATATAACAAATTTCTCTTGCAGAACAACACGGTATGGTCCGGTTTTTCTCTTGTGGAGCGTTTTTCGCAATTTTAGGTAAGTATCCAGCAATACTTTCTTCTCAGTTTTAGTGCAACAATATTGTAGTGTTCGACCTTTGTTTAACAGCAAAAAGATTGTTTTTGATATTAAACGTGACGGTATTTATTTTTTGCGCAATTATTTTGTAATATATATATACAGTAAAAGCTCCGTAACTTTAACTCAAAGTTGACCGTGAAACAGTTCAACATAAGAGGTGTGTGACCTAAAGGGCGAGTTTTAAAAAAAGTGCGAACATTGCGCCAAGGGCAGATTTGAAAGAAGCCACCTCACTACTAATTATTGCAAACTTGGTGTTACTACACTTCTCTGGCCGGTGATCTTATTGGTAAAAATTATGTAAATTTACCAGCGAACGGAATGAACTGACTATACATTGATATGACAGAAAGAGAAGTGACATGTACTTTTGTAACCAGTGAGCCTATATGTGCAAATAGATGACCCTTTTTATGCTCTGTAACACGTTTGCTTACATCGTGTATTGAACCCAAATAAAATTATAAGTAGCGGAAGTCTGCCTGCGTGTCTCTAAGCCAAGATAAATTGAAGTTTGTCAGAAGGAGTCTGATTCACCTTCTCTTCCGTTTTCTTTGACGGAACCCTATGTACATCGTTTGCATCTCCAGTTGGACTTCGTTTTGCAGATGTTCTGCAAGAAAATTGATTTCATTCTTTTCCGGCCATTGAATGCACCAAACTAATCGATTTAAAACGCATTTCGTCCTTGTATATAAAATTTACAGAAATTTTCTCACGAACGCTACAGAATAGAATACCCTTAGTAGCGGCGTCAATCAAGGAGGTTATTGTTCGGAATTTTCATTCCTTCATAATGACTAAATATTAAGAAAGGAATTTTGATAGCGATTTTGTGTGGTATATCTGTATTGCCTGTTCCGCTACATTTTTTGCTTTTAGAAAAGCTTTATTTCATGAAGGGATCAGAATTTGCGTTTTATAGTGCTGCTGACCAGCATTTTCATATCATAAATTTGTATTTTCTTTCATGTTCGTTATTCCACCATGCGAAAACCCGGTAGGGGCTGTAGCACAAATAAATGAATAGATCAATAACTAAACAGTGAAAAGAAACTACAAATATAGTTCTATATATAATTTCCACATAAGATCTTCCTGCACGACTTCTGCATAGAGTGCCAAAAACAGGTGCCTCGTAGTTCACATTACTCGTCGTGCATACGAACTTGCCTAACTAATCAAGATTTTTACCGCGCGTAAATACAGAGGACTGATGCGGAGAAAAAGGCCACGCCTGCACAGAAGGCGCTGCAAAGTCACAGCGAGAGCTAGAAAAGTGGCCTTTTAGAGCCTTTTCTAAACACTCATTGGGTAACTACTGCAAGTATGTTTACTTGATACCCACTAAGGCATTCATTATAAACATTTGGGTAGAAGGCTGGTATTCGCTATGCTATTTTTGTCATCATTTTGAGAAACGTGGTGTTTGCTAAACACTTCCAAGAAATTTCGTGCCAATTGTTCATGCAGTGGCTGATGACGATGAGAAATTATGGCTGAAGTGGCTATGCGCCACAGTTAACAGAAAAAGAAGAACAAGATTTGCACTGAGTTAAATCAATGAACAGTCCACACGTTACTCTACTCACATTGTGTGACGAATGGTTGTTATTTCGCTCTTTTAAAATGCTTTATAGGTCGTGTTAACGCGATTGCTTTCCCGACATCAAGCCTGCCTAAGGAAAGTTTGCCAGCAAGTCACAAGCACTAGAGTAGCTCAGTGGTATGATACTGGTCCGGCACCCAGTGCATCCGGTTTCGAGCTCCCTTATGTCTTTAGCGCTTGGCTTTCTTTTCTCATTTCTCATCTGAAGACAGCGGAGAAACAAAACAAAATCTGCTGATACCAAAGGCTACAAAGCTTGCCCTAGGACTGGTACCAGCCACCTCCACTGGTCGAATGCTTTGCATGGGACTTCACAATAAACAGAAAGAACTCATCAAAGCATCGACCAGGTCTAGAGACTCAACCGAGACCACCCTAGAACCCAACGAAGAATGGAAAGCCAAAATACTTCGACAGCTTGGAGAATGCCTTGAAATTCAGCAGATTCCACGAAACATGCATCCTCAACACCACTGGGCAAGGAGGCTCGCCAAGGTTAACATGATCCAAAAAATACATCGCAATAACCCACAGGTGCGATACGTGGACGCACCAGGAATCCGGGACATAACGCCTTGGCGATTACCGTCACACATTAAAAGGGCACGGTATTGGCATCGGCGACAATCCTCACCAAACGTGCGCAAACAGCTGAAGTGGCTGCTATACCACACGCCAGGCAGGCAAGAGAGGATCGCATCATGGTCTTTACCGACTCACAAACAGTGGCACGGAACTATCTGAAAGGCAGGGTCTCCACGGTGGCGATTAAGCTACTAAAACGCATAGACAATCCCCCCCCTACACATGTCTTGTGTAGATTCTGGGTCACAAAGGTCTCAAGGGAAATGAAGCGGCACACACCGCAGCCCGAAAATGTGTTAAACAGGCATTCACGTATGAAATCCGAGGCGACTTGCACTCAACAAGTGAAGCAAAAGCAAAACAAAACCGTACCGCTAACGTATCACGCATTACTGCAACATTATTGAATCGAACGCAGGGCATACTCTCCGCCACATTCAAAACTCACAAGAGATGAAGACAGGCGCCTTGAAAGCAACTCGTTCAGCAATGGCGTACTGTTGCATCACATGAGGCCAACGTAGCACAGCTACATCTGTCCTCACTGTAATGTGGCAGACACTCTGGCGCGCCTCTAACTGTAGTGCATAGTAAGTGTCCCAGGGCTACAAGCAGCAGTACCAAATGCAGACCACGACCTCTTCAGTGAAGCGCGGGAGGCCGCGATCTCCCAGCCGGACCTGGTGAGCAGTGTCAACTCGCCGCTCGAGCCCGGCGGGCTTTCAGGCTATAGAGCTCCTGGAATAAGAAACCGTCCCACCTTCACTCACAAACTTAATTCAATAAATGTTTTCTCTCTCTCTTTCTCGCAATGTGCTTACAGACAGTGGCGGCGGCGGTGGAGGACAACTGCGCGTGACCCGAGTTGTCGTCTCATAACAGCTTTCGCTGTAACAGGCTTTCGGTTTGAATTATCTGTAAGTTCTCAATAACCAAGTTGGAAATAACGAGCTTTTGAGTATACGCATGAAAGAGAAAAGAACCAATTTAGTGAAAATTATAAGTACCGAGAAAAGCAATGTTGAGAAAACACTGTTGAGAAAACATTCTTCATTGGTAAGCCGGGTAAACGCATAGTATAATGTACTGAAGCAGATTGGGTGGAGCCACTTATCAATGCAGTTCCGGAGGTAGGAGGTGGATCTTCAGCGCCATTCTCAAGGCTCCCATTTTCAGCGCAAAACGCCATTGATGTCTATGTTGAGAGAGTTATAGCACTAGAGCTTGTAGATGCCGGGGTCGGCATTTCTGTGGTGAGTGCGAAATCTTGTTGGTGACACAAGAAAGTGAAGACATCTCTCTTTGGCATGGTGCTCTCCCCCACTAGCGCGCCACGCACCCATCGCTCAGCCGTGTGTGCGGCGCACGGCGTTAACGAAGACATCATATATATCACACAATTTTTCGTTCCGTCAGCTTGCTGTCTTGACCTCAACCTAGGTTGGCGTTTTCTTATACGTCAGAAGCTATCATGGAATGTTCACGTGAAGAAGTGTCCCTTGTGACAGCATGTAAACTTTCATCGTCCGACAGTCCTTCCATCCCTTTTTGCCTTTCGTGTACTGCCCAACCAGACTCCTCCACAGTGTTTTCGATATCTCCCGTTTTTACTGAGCGCAATGTCATCGTTATCTGGTTTGCTGTTCCCACAATGGCGTCTGGATCAACCGTAATGCTGGTTACAAATCACTGCAACAAGCCCATCGCCTTACTTCGGAGAGAAGTTTTAGGATATGTACAACCTGTAGACCACATCGATGATCTTGATCTTCCTGTTGACGCTACATGTTGGCACATTGCCACACTCAGTGCTGCGTTTCAGGAATCGGGTTCTTCTACATTAGAATATGTCATTGACGCAAACCTTCATCTCTTTCATTGCAGCCAGCTTGATGCTATCCTTGACAAGTTGATCACTTTTTTCGACTTTGAATAACCTTCAATAGGCCGCACCACCACTATGAGTCATACCATTGACACTGGCTCACGCTCGCACCTGCGGCAGCAGCAATACCGCGTTTCATTACAGAGCAAGTAGACGGCATGCTTCAACGTGGAGTCATACAGCCTTCTAAAAGCCCTTGATCATAGCTTGGGCTATAGGTGAAGGAAAAAAAAAGGCACTATTCAGGTTTGTGGTAACTATCCCCGCTTAAACGAAAATACGAACAAATATGTCTGCCTGCTACTGCGATTAGACAATGCTTTTGAATGTTTACAAAGAATGGGGTACATTACAAACTTGGTTCTGCACTCTGCATATTTTCAGGTGCTAAATGATTGAGTGTGAGTGCCCTAAAGAAGCCTTTGTAACCCCGAAAATCTATCTTCATAAATTTCAGATCCTGCTACGCACCTACGACATTTAGGCGCATGATCAATCTTTTTTTGCCATACCACAAGTGGTACACATTCTTGTGTTACCTGGACGACGCTGCAGCAGAGTCCTTCAATATTTTTACTGGTTGTAGAGCTTTGCCGTAGCTCTATGGAGGAGCTTTGTGCGCAGCGAGCGCAAGCTATTGGGCGGCGCTGCATCACCATGCGGGGTATCGGAGGACCGGAGGGAAGCTGGCTGCTGGAGCCGCTTTGGGGTCAATTCATAACATCATGGCATGCCATCACGTACTTTTTCACCATATGATTCCTATTGTGCGTAGTCTGCGGTGCCTGATGATTAGGAAATATACCGTATAACTGTTGGTTGTCGATCCAGTTACAAAAAAAAATGACCAAAAGTCTCCGAGTTCTCGCTGCCTAC